GGCCTTCTCCGCTGCGGCCGCGGGGCCACCGGCCGCACCGGGCCCAGGGCACGAAAACCGGGGGCGGACACCGCATGAGCCCCCCCGGTACAGCGGAGAGCTGCGGGCAGGGCCCCCCCCCCCACCTGGAGGCCCGGGTGGAACAAGCTCAGCGCCACAGAGGGCGGCAGCAAAGGTGAAAAGGCTGGTCTCGTCAGTCAAAGTGGCAAACCAAAGCTTTATTTATTTTTTTGTTGTTGTTGTTGTGTTTAAAGTCTTTGCTACAGTACCTAGGACTGCACCTCTATACATAATTAACAATCATTCCTGAAAGATCTGTATTTGGCACCAGTTTGTGTTTACCTCAAACACTTGTGGGGAAGATTTCATTTCAAATCAAATGTGTTTTGTTTTTTTTTTTCAACTGAACAGGAGCTGCCGTCATGGAGCCAATTAGAGACTGAGAGGAGAAGCTTAAAAAGAAACAAATCCCTCCCTTCCCCCCTTCCCCGAGTCCTTATCTAAACCAACACGTTACAGAGAGCCCCAAAACAGACGTCAAAACATTAAAAGGCTGATATAGGCTTCAGTGGTTTATAAAACCTATAAAAAAAAAGACTACACCAGCAAATATGCCCTTTCAGTCCACACAGTTTAGAAATTAATGCAGGGAGCAACACTCGTTAGCTGGAAATCTCGTCATGAGAGAACCACACATCTACCAACAGGAGTACCCCAAAAAAAAAATAATCAAACGTTAAAATGCTCCAGTTCCCAATCCACATAAAAGGAGAGAGATTCGTAGGAAGATTAAATCAATCCATGAAATCATAATCGGTTGGGCAGTTCAAACTTCCCCCAGCAACCACTATGTCACTCACACACACTGGCTCACGTGTACACGGCTCAATCCCACTCAAATTCCTCATGGAATAAAAGGATCCCAGGCTCTATAGAGTCTTTCCCTATCATGCAAGAAATAAGTCTGGCTGTGCTTTAATCACCATCGTGTATTACTTCAGCCACAGAGTACCAGGCAGATTAAGTAGAAATGCACAGTTTTTTAGCTCATCATCTCTGCAGAAGTGTTTGAGAGGCTCAGTTCCCGGAGAGTTGTGGGGTGGGCAGGCAGAAGCCCTCCTTCATGCGGACTCGCTGGCCTCAACTGGCTTGATCATGTGGTCCGGTTTGTTGCCAGCAGCGTAGTGATCCCACATCTGAAGATAAAGCCGCTCCAGGTCCATTGTGTACTGCTTTGTGTTGAACAAAGGACTGGATATTCTCTGCTTCCAGACTTTGCCGCGGATTTTTTTCAGGCTAGGAAAAGAGTTAAAGCAGTCATTAGAGGCTCCAAACACTTGGTAATACTGTTTGGGAAATAGATTATTTTCAGCTAACCCAGAACTTCCCAAACAACTCTTTCAAAAATACCTGCTCTCCCACCAAATTCCCATTGCTGCATCATCCCCCCATCATTGTTGGCCAAGAAGGCCAACAGCATCCTGGCCTGTGTCAGGACCAGCGTGGCCAGCAGGAGCAGGGCAGTGATGGTGCCTCTGGACTGGGCACTGGTGAGGCCTCACCTCCAGGGCTGGGTTCAGTTCTGGGCCCCTCACCACAAGAAGGACATTGAGGTGCTGGAGCGTGTCCAGAGGAGAGCCACCAAGCTGGGGAGGGGTCTGGAGAACAAGTCCTATGAGGAGAGGCTGAGGGAACTGGGCGGGGTGAGTTCGGAGAAGAGGAGGCTGAGGGGAGACCTCATTGCCCTCCCTGAAAGGAGGGTGGAGAGAGGTGGGGGTTGGCCTCTTCTCCCAAGGGAATCATGACAGGAGCAGAGGAAATGGTCTGAAGTTGCACCAGGGGAGGTTTAGATTAGATCTTGGGAAGATTGACTTTCCTGAGAAGGTGGTCAGACACTGGAACAGCCTGCCCAGGGAGGTGGTGGAGTCCCCATCCCTGGAGGGATTTAAGAAATGTGTAGACGTGGCTCTTCAGGGCATGCTCTAGAGCCCAAGATTGGGGGGGGTGGGGTTGTGTGTGTGTGTGTATGGTTGGACTCGATCTCAGAAGTCCTTTCCAACCACGACGATTCTGTGATCGTTTCTGACACAGACCACCACGACCATTTCAACTCAGCACAGCTGCGACACAAACGCATCCAACTTGCTGCATTACCTGTCCTGTGGCAACTTATTACAGCATGGTTTTAACTTGCAGCAAGTGACAAACTGCTTAATCTTCAATTTAAAAAGAACAAAAGGTGAACTGTATCATACTTTTTACCAGTTAAGAGTCTGCACATGAGCAATTTCTTCAGAAGAGGTAGCATTATTACTCAACTTGGAGCACTATTACTCTAAAAGCAGAAGCTGTGTGAACTGCAAGACAGGAAACCTCTAGATGAGGGTTGCCCAGCTAGTTTAAATATTAAAATACCCGCAAGATTAAAACTACTGCTAAGTCTCAGCATTTACACTCTGCTGTCACGTTACACAGTACTTACTATTCCAGGTCAGTTCCCAGTTTCACAGCGATATCCTCGTACTCCTGCCTACTTTTGGCAATGAGCTCAAGACAACCCAGGCAAGTAAGCTGGGAGGCGGCAACTCGGGATGCAAGAGTCTCACCTGAAAAAAAATAATATATAAATTCATAAAGCCATAAAAAAATATAAATCTATATCAGGAGTAAGCTTCTCAAGTAACGTATTGCAGAGTATGAGTTACTTTTGCTCTGCTTCTACAAGAGGCAAGAAAGTTTGTTGGGATTCCTGTTACAGAATCACAGAACGATATGGGGTGTGAGGGGACCTCTGGAGATCATCCAGTCCAACCCCCTGCCAGAGCAGGTCCACCCAGAGCAGGTCCCACAGGAACGTGTCCAGGGGGGTTTGAATGTCTCCAGAGAAGGAGACTCCACCACCTCCCTGGGCAGCCTCTGCCAGGGCTCTGCCACCCTCACAGGAAAGAAGTTCTTCCTCATGTTTAGGCAGAACTTCTTATGTTCAAGTTTATGCCCATTACAACTTGTTCTGTCCCTGGGCACCTCTGAAAAAAGACTGGCCCCATCCTCCTGACACCCACCCTTTAAGTATTTATAAGCATTGATCAGATCCCCCCTCAGCCTTCTCTTCTCCAGACGAAAAAGACCCTTTAGCCTTTCCTCATAAGAGAGATGCTTCAGGCCCCTCATCATCTTTGTAGCCCTCTGTTGTCCCCTCTCCAGCAGTTCCCTGTCCTTCTGGAACTGGGGAGCCCAGAACTGGTCCCAGTGCTCCAGATGGGGCCTCCCCAGGGCAGAGCAGAGGGGCAGGATGACCTCCCTCCACCTGCTGGTCACACTCTTCTCAATGCCCCCCAGGATGCCATTGGCCTTCTTGGCCACCAGGGCCCATTGCTGGCTCCTGGGCATCCTGTTGTCCACCAGGACTCCCAGGTCTTTCTCCTCAGAGCTGCTCTCCAGCAGGTCACCCCCAACCTGTCCTGGTGCAGGGGGTTATTCCTCCCCAGGTGCAGCACCTACACTTGCCCTTGTTGAATTCCATCAGGTTCCTCTCTGCCCAACTCTCCAGCCTGTCCAGGTCTCTCTGGATGGCAGCACAGCCTTCTGGTGTGTCAGCCACCCCTCCCAGAGTTGTGTCATCAGCAAACTTGCTGAGGGTACACTCCATCCCTTCATCCAGGTCATTGATGAAAATACTGAAGAGGACTGGACCTAGTACTGACCCCTGGGAGACCCCACTAGTTACAGACCTCAAACTAGATTCTGTGCCACTGACCACGACCTTCTAAACTCCATCTTTCAGCCAGTTTTCAATCCACCTCGCTGTCCATTCATCTAACCCGCACTTCCTAAGCTCACCTATGAGGATGCTGTGGGAGACTGTGCCAAAAGCCTTGCCGAAGTCAAGGTAGACAATATCCACTGCCTTCCCCTCATCCATCCAACCATGTTTGTTATTAAAAATTAATAATATTCAGACCCATCTGTTGCACGTAGATTTCCCGCTCCGTTACCTGGCATAGTGACCATGGGAGTCCCAGCCCAGAGAACATCCATCCCAGTCGTGTGCCCATTGCAAAGTGGAGTGTCTAGACAGACATCAGCCAACTGCCCTCTCCTCACATGTTCTTCTTTGGGGGCAACAGGAGAAAAGATTATTCGGTTTTGGGAAAGACCCAGGTTTTGTGCGTATTGCTGAATATTAGGTTCTCCTACAGCTGGGAAACGCAGCAGCCAGAGCACACTGTTCGGAACTCTTTTTAGGATCTATAACAACAACAACAAAAAAAATCAATTAGAGAAAGTTTGGTCAGAAACATTTCCTTTTCCAAACAAGAAATTTCCACATACCGAAATGATGCAAAAGGCATAATCATTCAATACTTTAATCTTCTGAGGTATGGAGGAGGGAAACAACAGCTCACCATTTCAAGTGGGATAACTAGGGTTGCATTTCTAATCCCACTGAAAGAGACAGCAACTCCGAGCAATAGTTCATAGAGCTCAGAGAGCAAGTCTTGAAACTTATGATCTCATTTATTTATAGGCTCATTCTATGGAATATGAAAAAAAATAATCACTCCTCAAGTAACTCCCTGCAATACACTATATAAACTGGACCTTGATACAGACACTCAGTGCTCACAAAAATCACAGAATGGTTAGAATTGCAAGGGATCTTAAAGATCATCAAGTTCCAACCCTCTGTGCCCTGGGCAGGGACACCTCCCACCAGCCCAGGTTGCTCCAAGCCCCATCCAGCCTGGCCTTGAACCCCTCCAGGGATGGGGCAGCCACAGCTTCTCTGGGCACCTGGGCCAGGCTCTCACCACCCTCAGATCTATTAATCTACAAAATGCAAAAGCAAATTCTGCACTTAGTTCTGCAGACTAGGGAATACCAAACTTATTTCACACTGGAGTACCAACACACTTAAGCTGTCCAATATAAAATTTTCACTGGCTGGAAGCACAATGAAATAAATCTAAAAAATGCTATATTCTGTTAAGACTAAGTCCTGCACCATACGCGCTGTAAGGATTCAAACAGCTCAGGGTCAATGTTTCCCACAGAACAGTCACAGTTTTAACCTGTACAAAGTTTCAGCTAACTTGAACAGAACAGCTGTGTTCCCCGAGTCTGACTTTAGATTTCCTGTTAGATACAGATACTCACATTAGCCCACATCTGTAAAGTGGAAGGATCAATCTTATACAGCTGGTTGAAGTTGCAGTACACTACAGCATCCTCCGGTAAGCCGTACTGGGAACGGGTAGTAACAATTATAGTTCGTGGAACTTCTTCGCCAGTTGCTGCCTTGTTGTTAATCTAAAGAAAATTAAAAACGAACCACTCAGCTATTGGAACACTGACATTGCAGGGAACAGGCCCTGTGAAATTGTCCTGAGACACTGCAACATTTGTTAGCATCCTAAGTTTCTTGAAGTTTATCTTTGGTTTTATTATACGAAACCAAAATAGTTTACTTACCCATAAAACAAGAATTTAAGTGGTATGCATACACACTTGCAGGTGCCACAATGTAGCACCCACCAAGGCACAAAACATTGGGCAATTTTATGCCCTTGCTATCTCTCCCTGAAATTCCAAGTAACTGGAATAATTCAAAAGAAGAATCATTAAAAGAGGCGTTACACACAGACTCCTCCTTCATGTCATTTCATTTCCTTGAGACCAAAATTTAAATGAAGACTTCAAGGAAGAATAAAATAGTATTTAGAAAACAAAGGGGTTGGTTTAGTTTTCTGTGGTTTACTTTTTGGGGGGGTTTGGTTTTGTTTTCTTTTTTCATTGGTTTGGTTGGGGTTTTTTTTTTAAGACAACAGGCACAGAACAGACAGTCAAGACTGAAGACAGACTAATATGTAACTTTTTGTTTTCTTTTTTCATTGGTTTGGTTGGTGTTTTTTTTTTTAAGATAAAAGACAACAGGCACAGAACAGACAGCCAAGACTGAAGACAGAGACTAATATGTAACCGATAAACTGTCAGGAACTAGCTGACATGGAAATAATGGGAAATGCTGAAAATTAGACTAGAAGAGTTACTAGTGGACTTTCAAAAAACAACAGATCTTACAGCCTTAACAAAGAACAGGAATATGCTAATAAACACCAGCAGAGGATGAAGTTGGCATAATCAGAACACCATGCAAGAGTCTTGAGGAGTAGTAAAAGGGAAGTATGATTTTTAAATTTTATTTTTTTAAAAAATATTGACAGACAACGGTGGAATCAAAGATAAAAACGAGTACAGATATGGCAAAACTGGCAGCTAGAGCCTTTTTCTTTTTATGCACCTTTTACATACATATATATTTAAAATTTAGCTCAGGGGCAGTGTGGCCAGCAGAAGTAAGCATACTGTTGACAAACTTGACTCGAATTACAATGATTCAGTGTCACTGACTCTGTTAGAAGATGCATGATATATCATTTGGATCAACAAAAGTTCGTAAAAGTCCTACTCGTCCTGGTCAGTGAGGAGACCTCAAAAACACAATGCACAGCTCTTGTCGACCTGTGCCCCAAAGTAGCCACTATCAAATTAGAACAAGCACAAAGAAGGGTTATATTAGTGCAATCAAGAGATAGAAATTGTGCTTGAGAAGTGCACCAACAGAGCTTAGACTGTTTCATCTTGGTGGTGGAGTGCTAAGACCAGAATTCTCTATTCTTCTCAGGGGACAACAATTTCAGAAGAAAATGCTAATAAAGCTTACTGAGCAAACTAAGACATAACCTATTTCCAACTTTAAGGGAAGTTTCAGCTGTGAACAAAAGAACTCATTAAAAGTAACCAAGGCATGAGATATGGATAGAGCAGTGATAACAAAAGGTCTTGTAAAATGAGATAAAAGAGTCTCTTGAAGGATTGTCAACTGAATAAAATTCACAAGTCTAAAGAGTTGTGAAAATGTTGAAACATGGTATTTTTAAAAAGGAGTCACTGTTCTGCAAAGGAAGAATTATTGAACAAACCCAGTAACTGTCACTATTACCAAAATCCCATGAACAGTTAAGTACCAAGAGGTGGTGACACAGTGCACAGTTCAGAAAGATGTAAGAAGATTAATAAATACTGTTGAGATACTGTGGAGTAACTTTGCCAACTTGGCAATACAACCCAGCAAGCTTTTTGCAAAGTGAAAACAAAACTGAAGCTGGGTAACAGCTCACAAACGCCCTGTAGGCTGCAAGCAACGAGCAAATCTGCAGGCAATAAGCAAAGCCTTCCCATTCTGAGTAATAAGGGTCTACTTTATGCAACAAGACTAAATTTCTTTGGACTTTAGATACCTCTTGATATAACCCCTCTATCGTCGGGGGGGAAAGATCATCTCCCAGCACATCTGTGGCCTGTAACACATTTCTGAGTTTCCTTCAGTATGAGAAATAAACAAATCAACGTGATGGACGACATACATACGCCTGGAGGTTTTTCTTCCTTGTTATATGAAAACATAGAGATATAACATAAACCTCAAGGGAAAAGCAATCTGAAACGCCTCACCTGAGTAGTTGCTAATCCATTACTGATGTTGAATCCATTGATAGTTATCTGAATTTGCCCACGATTAATCATCTCAATCACAGCTTCTGCAATTGTGTTCATGGGAATGACGGGCATACTGAGGGCAGCATTGCCATCAGCGTTGTCACAACTGTCAGGACACTTCATCTAAGATAAATCACATGAGCATGAGAGAAAGCACCAGCTCCAGTCCCTAAGACTGAACACGCAGAGGAGTAGGCCTCACCTTAACAATCTTGACATCAGGGAGGCTGTCAAGGAAAGCCTTCAAGTCAATGCCATTCAAAACAATTCTGTTATCATAAATATGACCATTGGACTTGAAATCAATGACTGCTTTTTTCTGTTAAACAAAACAAACAACAGAACAATTTTAGAGAAGTTTCAAGATCCCTTACCAAGTATTATACTAAGCACCATTTTATAAAGGTAGCTATGGAAAACACCTACGTTTCTTGACCTATCTTCCTACGTACCTTCAGATGGGGGAACATGTTGGCATGGTCTCCAATGAAGAAAGTATTTGGCATGTAAGCCAATTTCTCTGAATACTGCTCAGCCACCTCAACTGGGGAAGTTTCTTTATCTGTGATGATATAATCCATGAACAATGCCCCACTGGTTCCAGGATACCCCAGCCACATCGCCTAAAACACAAGAAAGCAAGGCTCCAGTCCCAGGTTTATTGCAAAAATAAAGCAAGCTAAAAATCAATGCATTTTAAGTTAAATTTTCCACTTAGAGATTCAAGTTCTTTCTTGTGCTTTATAAACTGAAGAGCAACCACTAATCCCAAATTTGCACTACCTAGACAGTGAACAGTTCAAGGATGATCTAGAATTGATCCCTCAAGCAAGGGAATCAATTGTACGTGCAGGTAGAGCCGGAATACCAACCATCAGTGATTACAGTTTCTCTTAGCTAAGACAACTACCATAGCCTAGAGTGTCTCTGAATCAAGCTTTTCCCCTTCTCTTTCCATAGACAATTTAGAAACTCCTTAGTAAAAAAAAAAAACAAAACTTTGACATTAATCCTGACTTATTCCAACTAGCGTTTCACTAACCCTGAAGAAATTAAAACGCAACAACTCATTTCTGCAACAGCTTTAAATATCCTTTCTTTGCTCTCGCTAATGCAAGAGGGCCAGTGGTGTACAGGAACCTCACAGAATTCAGCAGTTCTCGTGCAGGACACTCGGAAAAACCAACCAAACAAACAAACCACTCTGCATCAACAGAATGAATGTATTTGCCTCACATATGCTAAGCCCTAAAAACTCTCTTGCTTACTGTTCAACACGAGCCTTCAACGCTTTTTCCACTCTGCCAGAAGACAAACAGAAACTCTTCTTACTCAGAAGTGGGTTTTTTTGGACGTACAGAGACCTCTAAGTTAGTTACCTGAATAGGTGCTGGTCTCAGGGCAAATAATTCATTTCGGGCTCCTTTGGTGTAACCATTCATATTGATGAGAATGTGTATCCCATCCTGATGGATGCGGTCTGCTGCTTTGCCATTACATGGTATCTGAAGAATAAATAAATACATAAATAAAAGTTATTTTTGTTTTCAGTCTTTCAGTAATAAGCATGGTTAGTCATCAGTGTACCAACAAATAAATGTCCACTGCATAATTTAATTTAGGTGAGACTTAAAACTTCTGTAAAACCAGGAGTGACGAGATTTAAGTCCTCAATTCAATCAAAACTCTTGCAGGACACTCGGAAAAACCAACCAAACAAACAAACCACTCTGCATCAACAGAATGAATGTATTTGCCTCACATATGCTAAGCCCTAAAAACTCTCTTGCTTACTGTTCAACACGAGCCTTCAACGCTTTTTCCACTCTGCCAGAAGACAAACAGAAACTCTTCTTACTCAGAAGTGGGTTTTTTTGGACGTACAGAGACCTCTAAGTTAGTTACCTGAATAGGTGCTGGTCTCAGGGCAAATAATTCATTTCGGGCTCCTTTGGTGTAACCATTCATATTGATGAGAATGTGTATCCCATCCTGATGGATGCGGTCTGCTGCTTTGCCATTACATGGTATCTGAAGAATAAATAAATACATAAATAAAAGTTATTTTTGTTTTCAGTCTTTCAGTAATAAGCATGGTTAGTCATCAGTGTACCAACAAATAAATGTCCACTGCATAATTTAATTTAGGTGAGACTTAAAACTTCTGTAAAACCAGGAGTGACGAGATTTAAGTCCTCAATTCAATCAAAAAAACCCCAAATCTGTTGAAGTCAAGAAAATCATGTTTATTCAATCAAAAAAACCCCAAATCTGTTGAAGTCAAGAAAAACATGTTTTCTAGACACAGTGGAGCGATACCTCACGTTGCCAAGCTCAGCACGTCATGCAGAAAAATATCACAAATGAAGCCCACAAGAAACTGCTTCAGTTCTTGGCTGAATCAAAACCAAAGAAGAGCAGAACTTCACACAAGATATTACCAATGACTTTCAAAAACAGCAAAGCCTTGGAAGTTACAATGTGTCTATTCCTGTCTAATACTGAAAGGTAAACAATCTTCAACAGTTTTAAATTCCTCGAAGCATTAATGAAATAATTAGTCACTACCTAAAGCAGATAAAAGAAAATATTTGATAGATGTCTCTAGTTCAGCAGCAGTAAAACAAAACCCAGAGGCTAGAAACTGAGGTTATACAAACCAGCCCAGCCCCACCACCACCACTCCTAATTAATTAATGATCAGAGCTCATGTAGCGCAAGCGGGAGATCCCAAACTAAGGTCATACAGAGAAATTACTTCAAACTGAAGATCAAGAGCAAGCCAATTAACTATTCTGCGCTAATGCTGACTCACTCTACCATTATCACACACCATAAAAGTACTTCATTTCTGTAAAACGGGAAAGTTACTTCACATTTATAGCAGGGAAAACGCAAGCACTTAGGCAGGCATATCCCTGAGCAATTAATTAATGATCAGAGCTCATGTAGCGCAAGCGGGAGATCCCAAACTAAGGTCATACAGAGAAATTACTTCAAACTGAAGATCAAGAGCAAGCCAATTAACTATTCTGCGCTAATGCTGACTCACTCTACCATTATCACACACCATAAAAGTACTTCATTTCTGTAAAACGGGAAAGTTACTTCACATTTATAGCAGGGAAAACGCAAGCACTTGGGCAGTCACATCCCTGAGCGACAACAATCTGAGTTCCCATCTTAGTTTAACTTGCAGTAAGTTACACTGCTAATGCAATACATCACAGCAAACTGTTCCTACTCTTTTGACCCCCATACAAATCTCTAAGAGTTGCACTGTAATCTAAAAATAGCAGTTTGATGCCTCAAGAATTTTACATAAGAAAACTCAAGTGTATCACTCTGGACAAAGGAAAGAGTATTTCCTAGATAGCTGTTCAGTGCAACAACAAATACCAAATTGCTGCCCTGTTTTACCATGACCAAGGGCTTTCAACATTCACAGCTGCAAAAGCTGGGGGGACGATGGCTTTCCACAAGCCTAACTGACACTCATTACTCTAAAGGAACATTTTAAGGGATCAACTTTGCAAAGTCCATCTCAGAGAGCAATCCTACTGACATCAATTTATCGTTCTTAAATAAAAGAGCGGATTCTGAACATCATGATGAGTTTAAATGCTACACACAAGTTTCACCCACCACCTAATGTGGGTGACACGTAAAACTGGGACTGTCCAGGTGCCGATCCGGTTCCATTGTTAATCTACACTGATTATCCCACATTGCTTTAGGGTTTTGCAAGGTATCTTGAGGTAGTATAACAACTCCTTGACTTCTATGTCTACTGAAATCCCCATCCGGGACTGTCCAGGTGCCGATCCGGTTCCATTGTTAATCTACACTGATTATCCCACATTGCTTTAGGGTTTTGCAAGGCATCTTGAGGTAGTATAACAACTCCTTGACTGAAATCCCCCTGAAATCCCCATCAGTTTTCATATGGAAGTTCAAAAAAAAAAAAACCAAAACCAAATCTAAACCACCTGTAAACTTTATCAAAACAGCCTTTTGATAGAGGCACAAAAATCCCCCCATTAACCCTCTGTCCTGCTCCACTGGAGTAAAGCGAGCTTAAATATAGTTGCAGTTGTGGCATCTTGACTATCAATGATATTTAGGTATTACTATTATCTTAATATCTAATGGAACAGTTATTCAATATTGCTAATTATTATATTATTACTTTTTAATAATCACCTGCAAGCCAGGTAAGGCATTAACGCCAATGCCTTTACAAACTGCAAAATTCCCAAGACTAACATCAGCTTAATACAAGAAAGGACTGCAACTAAAAACCTCAAACTACAGGTTGATCTCTTCCTTCCTTCAGGTTTGCTAAAAGGTATCAACGCATCAAAAAAGCTCACCTGAGATAAGTCAACGAAATGATTCGCTTCGGCCATCACTTTTACACGGAAGTTTGTACCATCATCAGGACTCAGAGCATAACAGAATACCTAGAACGTGAGGCACCAAAAATTGAGTATCTGCAACAACTTGCCAACAGAACAACTTTCCTATAAGACGTGGTATTGCAATTTTAAATTACACAAGCAAAATTACATCTAGTTTCATACACATTATATTTTTTTCTGTGTCATTTGAGAATTAAATAAGGGGGGCACTGGGTATTTGACACATTTGCACCAGGTCCCACTCAGTTTTACTCAGTTCTGGTGCTAGAGTACAGCACTGCATCTCACAGAGACACATACACAATGTTCTCATGAGTGTAAGGAAAAGTAATTTTAACAAATGGAATTGCATAAGCTTTAACTTCTCTAAGAACACCTTTCACAAGACACCTTTGAATTTGCAATTAGCGAGAATCATAATTATGACTCAGGTTGAAAAGACAAGCTAAGCCTTGGGGAAGCTTTTTAAAAGATCCTTTAAACAGTGACTAATTCTCTCCAATTAAGAAACTGCACATATGTCTGAGAAACTCAAGGTTGACACGTTATGTAAACAGACATCTTTAGCTAACCTAACACATTTAGATATTAAAAAAAAAATAGAAACAACATGCAGAGAATTTACTGTCTTGCAGGACAAAAGCATGGTTTTAGTAAAAGAATAGAGAACAAATGTAGATGTGTCTTTAGCATTGCTAAATTGTGTATGTTCCTTCTGCAGTAAGCATAGCATATAATTTCCTTTTGAAAAAGCCATCGCCAAACCAATCTGAAGTTCATGTCTGCAGTAAGCATAGCATATAATTTCCTTTTTAAAAGCCATAGCCAAACCAATCTGAAGTTCATGATAGTGATTTAAGTACCCCAGAGAAAAATACATGTTAAAAAAAAATAGCAACAGAGACTGAATAAAAACCATACATATTTGTAAGTCAGAAGTAACCAGGCAATAGCAGCTTGATGTTGAAACACAAGTACTCAAGGAACAGCTGCTGAAGCTTAAAAAAGTTTTCCATGGGCCACAAATCCCATCTACAGTAATTCTAAGGACAGGTACCTAATTAGCCTAAGTAACTTCTAAGTAACACTTCATACTGGTAAAGGAGGATGACTCAGGCTGGAGACCTCTTCAAACCAGGAAAAAAAAAAAAAGCCTACTAACAACAACAACAAAACCCCCCAAACAACCTCAAACCTAGAAACAAAAGTTTGCCCCCTTCCCTAGTTTACCTGTCTAGTTTCTGTTACCAAGAAAAAGAAACAGTTGTCTTCAAACTTTTAAGCATGCCATTGACATTTTTACCTCAAATTTGTCTGGGTTGTGCATGCCAGGGATTGACTGCATTAGGTGTGAGGTTGGATGATTTCCAAAATCAGAGCTCACATAGCCAATACGAAGTCGACCTTCACTGGCCTTCAAATCCTTGGGATGCTCATACGGCGGCTTGTGCAGAACGTTAATCTGTCAAGAAAACACACACAACTCTTTATAAAAAGCTCAAGAATCAAAACCAAATGCTAAACAGAGGGACAAAAAACCGCCGTGAGTTTGTAGAATTAGCTTTATCCCACATTCAAGTAAGTGGCCTGTGGACATCTCTTGTTTCAAACATGCATTATATGTATTCCACAGGGGCCAAGTGTAACGTCCACAAACTGTGTCACGAGGTGTGATGTACCTACGTTCAGCCATCACCACTGCAAGTTGACATTGTTGCTTTTCTACCTGTTTATTTTTTAAGTATTCCACCCTGATACCACAGAACTATGACCAGGAAGCTCTCAAACTACCGTTTGAGAGCTCACTACTCACTACTTCCCGTGAAGCAGCACACACAGCATGCTTTCTGTTCTTATGGTCACTATCTGCCCCAGACATCAGCTTGTAGTCACTAGGACTGACAGGGTTATCAGGCTATCAAGACAAGCCACTTTGAAAGCTTAGTGTTAAAGCTTAGTGATCTGAAGTCTGAGATCCTTCCGTTAGCTCACCAGACATTCAAGTGCTGGAGCGTGTCCAGAGGAGAGCCACCAAGCTGGGGAGGGGTCTGGAGAACAAGTCCTACGAGGAGAGGCTGAGGGAACTGGGCATGTTGAGTTTGGAGAAGAGGAGGCTGAGGGGAGACCTCATTGCCCTCTCCAACTCCCTGAAAGGAGGGTGGAGAGAGGGGGGGGTTGGCCTCTTCTCCCAAGGGAATCATGACAGGAGCAGAGGAAATAGTCTGAAGTTGGGGCAGGGGAGGGTTAGATTAGATCTTGGGAAGAATGACTTTGCTGAGAGGGTGGTCAGGCACTGGAACAGCCTGCCCAGGGAGGTGGTGGAGTCACCATCCCTGGAGGGATTGAAGAAATATGTAGACATGGCTCTTAAGGGCATGCTCTAGTGCACGAGATATTATTGGTTTCTGGGTGAGTGTGATGTGGTGGGGTGTTGGGTTTTTTGTTGTTTATTTTGCTGCTGGTTTTGTTTTGTTTTGGGTTTTTTTTGTTTGTTTGTGGGGGGGTTTTTTGGCTTTTTTTTTTTTTTGAGGTTGGACTCGATCTCAGAGGTCCCTTCCAACCATGGTGATTCTGTGATACAAAACCTCCTACCTTGTCCAAACACAGATTTCCATGTCTCTCAGCAATAGCCTTCCTAAAACTGTGAGAAAGGGGATACAGCATGCTATGGTGTGGATGGACTGAAGGCAGTCTGTTTTTCTCCAGCTGATCAGCTACAATGCTAACCAGCTTCTTCATTCTCTCATCATAGTCTGTCCAGTCACAGACAATCTAGAAAAAGGAAAAATTAAAAGAATATTAGGACAACAGCTTCCTTTGATCTATATCAAATATTTCACAAGCTGAGACTAATGCTTCTTCCAAAAATGGAAGCTAGAACTTCAGAAATTACTGTTGATGACAACTGTAAGTATTCTTAACAGTAACCTTCTGATTCAGGACTTACGTCTGCTCTTTACATTTAAATTAGTGATTGGTTGAGGTGATCAAGCTTAGCATTTACTGCAGAGGAATCTTAAGAATTCCAATTAAAGCCTTATCTTCCTCACCTGCAAACAGTGGGCCAAGTTGCAGTAGGCATCTGGGAAATCAGGTTTCAGCTTCAGAGCAGTGCGGTAAGAGGCAATGGCTTCTGGTATATTCCCTGAATCCTGTAAAGACACAGAAATGAGTCACCAGATAAAAATATACTCAGGGTAAGTACTCACAGTGCCCCACCATGCTCTAAGATCAAATCATTTGCATGCACTACCTTGTGAATAGAGGCCAGGTTGCTGTGGGCATCAGCAAAAGCTGGGTTTATCTGAATGGCACGGGTGTAGCACTGTAGAGCTCCTTGCACATCCTGCATCTCCTTCAAAGTATTTCCCATATTAGAATAAGCATCTGCAAACGTAGGGCTGATTCTGAGAAATAAAGATAATATATGTCATTCCCAACGAGGAACCATCAAAAGCTGGGTTTATCTGAATGGCACGGGTGTAGCACTGTAGAGCTCCTTGCACATCCTGCATCTCCTTCAAAGTATTTCCCATATTAGAATAAGCATCTGCAAACGTAGGGCTGATTCTGAGAAATAAAAATAATATATGTCATGAAGAATAAAAACTGCTCTCCCCCAACGAGGAACCACACTCTCACCCAGGCTTTTTAGTTTGCAAAGCAACTGTGTGAATGAAAATATGCTACTGTAAGTCCCTTTCCGTACAGAGGTACGGCACGCGCTGTTAGGAAAGGCTGGCACTATCCCACCTAGTATCCATTTACCTAATGGCCTCTTTGTAATGCATCAGAGCTTCCTGTAACTTTCCTTGCTGTTGCAGGACACTTGCTAAATTTGAATGTGCAGCAGCAAACTCTGGAAAAACCTGGAAGAAAAAGAAGTAGAATCTGTCTCTCAAATGCCCCAAGTAGACCATATAAAAAAAAAAAAAATACTCGTGCATTTCTCACTTTTTTTTTATATGACACAGGTCTCTGAACAGACTTTCCTCCACTTACAACCAAAGAGGGAAAAAATAACCTATGTCACATTATACATTCCCAACTTTAATTCTCCACCTCTCCCTCCCCACATTCAACTGTACCTCAAGAGCCTTCCGATAGAGACGGACAGCTTCCTCAATGTTCCCCTGCTCCCGTTTGATGTTTGCCAGGTTGTTGAGAGAATCTGCATGAGTGGGACAAAGTCGAAGAGCTGTATTGTAGCATTCTTCTGCTTCTACCACCTTCAAAAAAAGGGATGCTGTTAATAAAGTAATACTTCTGTTGGAGCACTGTTTACAAGAAGTCACTATACAATGACTTTTAACAGGCTGAAAGGGGAGATTTCCTGGATTATTCTTCCTTATGACCGAGGGTAACATCCCACCTTACTAAAGCTGGTGACATCTGGTGTCTACAATAAACATGTTTTAAATTTTTCAATAGGAAAAAAAGTACTCCTTACACTGCCTTTCTCCTTCAAGGCATTGGCCAGGTTACAGTAAGCATCAGGGAAGTGGGGCTGGAGCTCAATAGCCCTCCTGTAGGTGTCTATTGCCAGGTCTATCAGTCCTTGCTCGTAGTACACGCAGGCAAGGTTGCCGTGCACGACCGCGTGGTTGGGACTCAAACTCAGGGCTCGTAGATAAGCTGCCACAGCTCTGAAACAAGAAAAGGAAAGTAAACCATCACCCACAGAGCAGCAATCCTATTTCTTTTGGTCATAAGAAAGGACCTACATTTTTACAGCTCTGAAACAAGAAAAGGAAAGTAAACGATCACCCACAGAGCAGCAATCCTATTTATTTTGTCATAAAAAAGGACCTACATTTTCAAAAAACAAACTTCAAGGGATTACTAACACACACATCTGTCCTGTAAGATGTTACTGCACACACAGAAGAGTACTGCCCGAATTAAAAGCCCAATCAAGGGATTAATGATTATTCATGTTATTTTAAAACCAGGCTGAATTCTGTAATGAATAGACTAGAAGAAATACTTCACAAACCAGCAATGTTTTCCTTCCACCTGATGCTGTACAGTGATCTTTATTTCTTCTGGAAAAAAAGTAAAGCTTCCGACTACTTTTTTTAAACACTTTTCATTACTAGGTCAAGCAAGAGAACCTTGCTCCATTTTTTCCCCAGTTTATTATTCAATTGTGACAATATAAACAGCATCATACTGTTACATCTTTATTCTCTTCACTAACCTAACACACGTATCATACTTTACTTATACCTCAAACTTTTTTTCATTCAGAAGTGAGATCTTTATCGCTCCTACAGCACTATATAAATAAATGATTGATGTATTCAAATCCTATTTCTAGAAAAATCACAATAGTATACATCAGTAAATTCTCAAGAAGGTGATGTGAAGTCTACAATGAGGAAATACGCCCATTTGGCTCAGTAATTTGTGGTTAAAACAGAAATCACTGAATCATTTACACCATGTTCAACACAACTAATTAGAACAATCAACCTGTTCCCTGCAAGCTTTTATTAAATTTGGAGCCCCAAACCACAGCTACCAGAAGTTGTAATCCATGGAACAGATGCAATATGGTACGCTGCATATAAACATCAGAGCCTGGATCTTCTTCCAGAAACAAAAGTATGATTCATGCATCAGATTAGAAGTCTCAAACAGGTTAGTTCAAAAAGGCAGTAACAGCGCTACAACCCCGCGCAATAACAAGATGGCAACACACAACAAATACAGAATATTCCATCAGGTGCTCAGCTGAACTTCAGCATTTCAGCTCGTCTTACATAGAAAATGTTAGAAGAGAAACACTTGGAGATTATGTCCTGAATCACATAATGAAAACAAAGAACTCAAGGGTTCTTCACCCCTCCCCGGCCTTAATTTCAAGTCTATTTTCATCGATACCTTCAGAAACTCTCATTTTTAACATTTTATTAAACATAAAGGAATACTTTCCACAGGATTTAAATTTCCAATTCCAGTAACCTTCTCTGTACGCATTTCAAAGCCATTTGCTTACTTAGTTTACAGCAGAAGTCTTTGCTATACTGTCCAAAGAGGTTTACATCAGGAACCTGATCTGTATCTAGATACATCTGACAGAGTAACAACACTTATCCGCTTACCTGTCAAATATCCTTGCCTCCTTCAGGACATTTCCCAGATTGATGTAAGCATCCAAAAAATTTGGGTCAAGTGTTACAGCCTGAAAATATTTTTGAAGAGTTTTGTTTTGAGCATTAACACAAAAACACTATGAAAAGTATTTGAGGTTTTCTGGGTTTTGTTTGTTTTTAATTGGACAAACCAAATCTGTAAGCATCTAAGACTTTATCAATAACCTAAGTAAGGAAGGAGAACTGAAGTTACAAAAACCACAGAGTATCAAAGTTATTCATCTAGAGAAGTAAGATCATACACTACCTTCAAATTTATTCCTTTGCTTACCTAGTCAGTTGCAACTACTGCAGAATAAAGTGTTCAACATTTATTTCATGTTAGGCTGATCATACTTCACACTCCTGCCTAACCATGCTATGCTGCCTTTAGCTTGTTTTTAGGGGAGAAAATCCTAAAAAACCTGATCCATATCCTTTATCTACTGCAAAATAAGACAGCATTGTAAAACTTTAGCAGCCCATGAAAACAGAGACAGTTTCACAAGAGCAAGAGAAGAGCAAACACATCATGTACGTAAGGAAAATTCAGTACTCATTTAACAAAAAAAAACAAACAACCCAACATTTTCACTCCCTTCAAAGCTAATAAAATGCAACAAACTTAATAACCATTCAAGTTACAGCAGATGCAGCAGTAAGCTACATGTAAGTATTTGACAGGCCAGACTCTGTATTACAGTCTCTCTCATGCAAACTATTACTTCCAAATTAAACTATTTTAAAATCTATCACTAACTAGACAGAACAAAAAACAACAACAACAACAAAAAAAACCCACAAAAAAAACCACCACAACAAAAAAACCTTGAGCTATTAAAATTATTTTTGTGGCTCTCAAGTCATAAATTTCAGGAAGAAACTGTCCACCACATCTTAAGTCCAGTTTTAGGTCACTTTAGAAACTTAAGAGATGAGTACAAACTGAAGATGCTAAGTAACTAGAAGGCACCAGACAACTACTTAACGACAGCAATCTAGAAAAGTCTGAAACAACAATGGTGAAAAATAATCCTGGAGAAGAGGAATGACTGTGTCACTTAAAACTGTTCTCCTCAGTTACTCACAGGACAGTAATACCTGAAAAAAAATCACAATAGCAAAATGATTTTAAGCCAAAAGTTGTTTCTCTCTCTCTCACACAAAACGCACAAAACATTATCCCTATCCAATTACATTTTTTTAAAAAAAGTTTATTCCGGAAAAAGACTGTAAAACAACCTAATGAATTTCATTTTACTTGACATGTGTGTGAAGTCCTTAGGGCAATTCTAAGCATCTCTAGTGGCCACAAGCAGTCTGAAACATCAGGAAGTAAAAAACCCCAAGCAATTAACACAGGATGTTAACTAACAGGCTCATTAAGTTCTCTGGTGATCAAAATATTTCTATTTTCTACAAGCAGAGCACTGCTGCAGACCACGTGTGGTAAAATCTAGCAGTGAAGCTGACTGTCTTCAATCGTTACCTTTTCAAAGTGATGAATGGCAAGCCAAATTTCTCCTTGGGCATTGAACACACAGCCAAGATTACTCCAAGCCACTGCAAAGTTTGGTTGAGTCTCAATTGCTTTTAAGTAACAGGCCTTGGAACAGTTAAAGAAGAGAGATACAAGGGAAGGGGAATATTTGTAAAAAGAAAAAAATGAGAAAAAAACAATTGTTAGTATGCCTTCTCTAACCAGCCAAAAGTGACCCTGCAGTATAGGCTAGCTTGCGCCAAAACTAATGCGCTGCAAACTGCTGTTGATCCTGCGCCAGCGCAAACCAAAACCCAGGTGCAAGCCCACCATTTTTCAGTTATGCTGGTAATGAATTAACACGACTTTAAACACCAGGTCACCACAGAGATCACCTCAGAAATAATTCCAGCAGTTCAGCAGAAATAAAAGGCATAAAAGCCCCCAAAATTCACCTCAGAAATAATTCCAGCAGTTCAGCAGGAATACCTGCCACCCTCGAGCGCATAAAAGCCCCCCAAAATCACTTCGTAATAAAAAACTTTGCTGTGAAATAAAATTATTAAATTGCGAAATATTCTAAAAGAGGTAGAAACTACTTAAAAAAATTAGAAAAACTACTGAAAAAGATGAAGCCGTTCTTCGTTTTCAGTTGTCCTTGTCAAGCGAGACGACGGACCCAAAACGTCTGTCAACCCAAACCCATTTCCCCGTTTCTTCAAATACGGTCAAATCAGCTTCAAAACCTCAAATGACAGGATTGCACGAAGGTTTAGGTCCCTGTAATGCAAGCGCAAGAAATCGCTGCGCATCCTAAACAGCACGGCGCCACGCTATCGCTGCGAACTCCTTGGCTCTATCCATTGCCCCTAGGTCCAGTGAACGGCCAACCAGAATCATTAATCTACCAGACAGGCCCATACAAAAAAAAAAAAACTCGCTTATTAAATTTGATGTCTGGACTCTTAAACGCGTTACGACCCAATTTTATCCAAAAGGCTACAGCCTGGAGCTCGGGCAGTCACCCAATCAGAGATTAATCATCTAGTCAACCGTTCACGAGGGCTTAATCGCACGCATTGCGCGTTACCGCTGCGCAGCCTTTGCGCTACTGCAGGATCACAGCGCATCATCAGAAGAGCAGAACGCTGCAATCCAAACAAAGAAGAAAAAAGGAAAAAAATGAACAACCAGAAGAGTTAGAAGCTTTTACTATTAACTATCTCCAATTATTTCTTTAAAAAAATATTTTAATTTACTTTTACTTTATTTCTTTGAAAGAATTTGTGGCTACTAGTATAAAATATTCTTACATTACTTGCTCGTAATTAAATATTTTAAGCTGTTTTCTGAAGCCACAAGACAGAAGATTCAGGCATGGAGGCAAATGGTTTTGCTGTGGCAGTTACAAACCCGTTACCATATTTCTCATCATGTGACTTTTCGGTGCGTTCCTTGCTGGAAGAGGAGGAGGAGGTGTGTGTCTGCCCTAGATCCAGGCCTCGAGCTCCCTTCAGCGAGGCACCTTACGCATGGAATAGGAGGTTTCACCCACCTGAAACCTTCTAAATACAATATCAGTGGTGAAAAACCAAAAACAAGAGAGAAAATAAAACAAGATCATTAGTAAGAGTTCAACAAAGCAATTGCATTTTTTTGGATATGTCTTAACACATGGGAATGAGGACAATCTGTCTGTAACAAGGGAGACATGCAGAAGGGAGAGGGTTAATCAGGGCAATTGCATACAGCAGGGACTTTTTTCGGTTTGGTTTTTTTTTGGAAGAAAGGCTCTGAAATATCTACAAAGAAATTAAATTTTAGTTCAAACTGTAAGGAATCTGCTGGCTTGATCTTTCAAATGGACTGATAACCAAAGAAACACATTGCAATTTACTCAAGATGTTTTTCCTCGTTTATTAAGTTCTCACAAAACGGAATAACACTTTCAAACTAGGTGTCTCCAGAGCTCTGAAACAAAGAAGTCAGCAACCTAAGGCAGGCGCAGTGTCTTGGCCTATACCAGTCACACTAAAGCTGCAGTGAAGTGCAATTCATGTTAGCTGTCCGCTTGGTGGGCTGAGAACCAAGTGCCTCAAAGGCTGTTCAAACTCTAAATGCTGCTACGAAATATTTGCAACCTGGATCTGACCAAATCAATTAGGCTGCCCTAAGGAACGCTACGCACATCCAAGTTGTTAAGTGAAATGCCCCCAAAAAAAATAATGGAACTTTGAACCCGTTACCCCGTAAAGATGATAACCCTCCCCAAACTGGTGCAGCCAAACAGACAGCTACGCTGTTCATACACTCCACTTTTGAGCATGCGCGTGGGGCTTGGAGTGACAGACGTGGAGTCCAGGGTGTTTCCGATTCCTCCACACTCCTCACCCCTGCAGCGCGGACGCGTAAGGTGGCTTGTAACAAGACCATTTCTTTGTGCAATCCAAGTTTTAACATGCCAAGAATTTTAAACTCATCTTGGTGTTCGAATTCTCAGTTTAGGAAACACACGACTGCTAGAAGCCACCTTTCCACTACAGCAAGTTTTCTTTCGATCAGTTCATTTCCCAAACAAACCAGCTTTGTCCTTCCAATTTCTTTATTTTGGGGGGGAGGGGAGAGGGAAGACATGAAGAAAAGATATTCGGGGAGTTCGCATACCGCAGCTATTGACCATTTACTAGCCTTTCTTCCACTATCGAGGGAAGGGAAAAGTTAAAAGAATAAAAATCTTTAAAAGCCAATATTACAAGGTAACATTTGGATACGTTTCTTCTCCACTTACAAGCCACAAAGGACTTTAGAAGAGCAGCGTTTTCAATAGCACCTGCATCGTACAGGGATCTCGAGCTAACCACAGGCTCTCTGCTTGGCACCAGCAGGCAAGCCTCAGATTTGAAGGACCGTTACTTATTTCCAGATAAGAGCATGATGAGGCCCCTGCCCAATACTTCAGAATGGTATCAGATAGTCTAGTTCAGCAGAAAGGCTTGGTAGTGTTCCATTTCTTGACTTAAAAGCAAGTTTTAAACATGGACATGCCATATCTTGCCCTGCAACTACTCTGGGGTGTTTCAGTGCCTTCAGTTTTCAGCAGTTTCTCAGACTGTCTGTAGATCAACGCAGATTTGAAGACTTGGTGCAAAGTTCAAGTTTTCAAAACACTGACGTTTACATGTATTCTACCCAACACCTACCTTGGCTTCTTCCAAGCGACCCAGGGCTTTGAGCAGGTTCCCCAGGTCACTACGAACACAGTACAAGTCCTGAAAAACCAAAGTCACACCATCAGCTTCAGGACTTCAGATGCCCTAAAGGTCTTCCCGGAGAACTTGCAAAGGAACACCCCGGTCCTCCACAGCTTATTTTAAATGCTTAATTTAAATAATAACTTAAATAGTAACACCACTAATGTAAATTTTTTTTTTTGACCTAACATTATAGCCAAGAGACAATCTTATTGACTTCAGTATACTATAAAAATACAACCATAAAGAAGTAGAAAGAAGAAAGAAAGGTTTCATACAATTCCTCTTTATACAGAAATACTTAAAAAGGACCAAAAAATGCCACCCCCTCCCCCCCAGATTTAAGTTCTTTTGCCACACATAAGTATTTGAAGCTCCTATTTTTATTTTTTAAGCATGACAGCAAGCCTGTATTCTTAAGTTACACCATTGCCATGATGGCTTTTACATAGACAAAATATAGTGATTTTGCTTCCTGTATCCCCAAAGCAGTTTTTACTCCTTGTTTTTCCCACTAACAGATGTATTTTCAACAGCCCTGCCATGTGTTCTTGTTCTTCCACGTGTAACCCCAGCACAGGCTGCAACTGCATCCTCTAGCAGTACAGACCATTGAATCTGGGGACACACTTGTCAACACTAACAAAAGAAGTTTCTAACCTAAACAAAACTCAGCTCCTGTAAGGAAACTCCATCTCACAGTATTTCTAAGCAGTGCATAAACTCCACTAGTTGCGTGTCTTAGCGCAGTAAGTTAGACAATTTCACCCAGGGTGCATCACAGAGTCAAACAAGATTCTCAGCTCTTGTTGGGACTGGGTTTGCGTTTGCTTTTCCAAAGGAAAAAGGATCTATGTGCACCAGTTTGATGTTGCACCTCAAATATTTTTGTGAAAACATATGACCAAACAGCAAGCAGATACCTTCCTGAGCAGTACTATACAAACTAATTGAGTACGATGCATAATAAAGGTATCAGTCTGATACACTCTTTACTAAAAATGTGGATTAAAACCAGATCTATTTTTATAAGAGTCACTTACACACACATACTAAATTTCAGCCTATAAAACAAAGAAATGATGCTTCTGCAAACCAACCCAGTGGAAGGCTAACAAAGGCAACCCTCATCACCATGAAGTTTCTGACTTTATGCAAAACCATCAGGTATTACTTTATCTCCCATTCAACTCTGAACAGCGATTCTCTCACTGCAATAACACTGCCTTAAAGCACACAAAGCTAAATCTAAGGTTATTCACTGAAATTTCTGACTTAACAGAAAAGCAAGGAATTTGTGCGGGTTTTTTTTTTAATCTCAACAATGCAGGTAAGTAGTGCAGAGAAAGCGGTGTTACTGAATGCCTTCTTTGCTTTGGTCTTCACTGCTAAAACTGTCCCTCATGAATCCCAGACCCTGGAGACAAAGGAGAAGGTCTGGAGGGAGGAAGATTTTCCCTCCGTAGCGGACTGGGTTAGAGACAACTTGGCCAAACTAGACATCCATAAATCCATGGGCCCCAATGGGATGCACCCATGAGTGCTGAGAGAACTGGCAGATGTTATTGCTGGGCCACTCTCCATCATCTTTGAAAGGTCATGGAGAACAGGAGAGGTGCCTGAGGACTGGAGAAAGGCAAATATCACTCCAGTCTACAAAAAGGGCAAGAAGGAGAACCCAGAGAACTACAGGCCGATTAGTCTCACCTGGGAAGGTAATGGAGTGACTTGTTCTGGGTGTCATCTCCAAACATCTTAAACAGGAAGTTATTGGAGAGACAAAGGAGAAGGTCTGGAGGGAGGAAGATTTTCCCTCCGTAGCGGACTGGGTTAGAGACAACTTGGCCAAACTAGACATCCATAAATCCATGGGCCCCACCAAACTAGACATCCATAAGTCCATGGGCCCCAATGGGATGCACCCGTGAGTGCTGAGAGAACTGGCAGATGTTATTGCTGGGCCACTCTCCATCATCTTTGAAAGGTCATGGAGAACAGGAGAGGTGCCTGAGGACTGGAGAAAGGCAAATAACACTCCAGTCTACAAAAAGGGCAAGAAGGAGAACCCAGAGAACTACAGGCCGATTAGTCTCACCTGGGAAGGTAATGGAGAGACTTGTTCTGGATGTCATCTCCAAACATCTTAAACAGGAAGTTATTGGAAGCGGTCAACAAAGATTTACCAAGGGTAACTCATGCTTGACCAATCTGATAGTCTTCTGTGATGTTATAACTGGATGGCTGGATGAGGGGAGGGCAGCAGATGTCATCTACCTTGACTCCAGCAAGGCTTCTGACACTGTCTCCCATAACATCCTCATTAGGAAATTAAGGAAGTGTGGGCTAGATGAGGGGGCAGTGAGGTGGATTGAGTCCTGGCTGTGTGACAGAACTCAGAGGGCTGTGATTAACGGAGCAGGGACGAGTTGGAGGCCTGTAACCAGTGGTGTCCCCCAGGGACCAATATTTGGTCCAGTTTTGTTCAACATATTCATCAATGACCTAGACAAGGGGACAGAGTGTGTCCCCAACAAGTTTGCTGATGATATCAAACT